AGATTGATTTCAGAGAGGAATGGAGAGTGAGAGAGAGTTAAGAAACATCAATGATGAGAATCATTGATTGGCTGCCTCCTGCATGCTCCCTATTGGGGATTGACCCTGCAACCCAGGCATGTGCCCTTGATCAGAATCGAACCCAGGATCCTTTAGTCCACAGGCCAATGCTCTATCCACTGGGCCAAACCAGCTAAGGCAGTGGGTGAATACTTAACTTGCAATTTCTAAGTATGGGTTTCAGGGAGTAAGGAACCTCTTGAAATTATTTGTAAAGAATGTATACTCTCTATCTCTCTCCTTTCCTCTCTGTAGAAAATCAATAAAATATATTTAAAAAATATATATATATATTAATAAAAAAAAGAATGTATCTTTGTGTAGTATGCAATTTGGGGGTTATAAGAGGAGTTCTACAGCTTTAAATAAACCCTTTCTATTCTATTACCCAGAAAGGTCCTAGGATGTTATGAGGAAGAGCTGGAGCCACATTGGTAGGGTTAGTGATTTTTCTTCTCAGCAAATCATAAGAAGCAGTACTGGGTAATACATTTATCCCGCTGTATCTGTGCTTAGCGACATTTTTGACTGAACAACAACACCTGATGAGAACTGAATCTCCTCTCACTTACATATTAGTTTTAGGACCTCAGAGTTGTTTTAGCTTTGTTTTTTATAAAACTATCTTTTGCACAGTGCAAAACACCCAACCAAGATGGACTGTGCCTTCTTGTACCAACCCTGACACATGCCAAGTGGTCAAGGTGTTTGGGTTCAAATGCAAGAGTAAAAGACAGGAGAACCTAATGTTAAAACACTGAGCCAGACAACGGCTTTCCCCGGGAAACCAAATCAAAGGATTGGTGGTCCCACCTGAGCGTTTGATGGCAAACTTGGTTGATGGTAGTGCAGGAAGGAAAGTCAGTTTGGTTGTCACTGACGTTTGTAAAGCTCTGACTGCTCCTGTGATTCTATTGCTGGCATCTGTCAGCTGTAGCTTTCATTATTGGGCTCCTGGTTCCAACACTGGGGTGAAATTAGCAACAGGGAAAGGACATAGCTTACTACCATAATCTGGACTTTCCTGAGAAAGTTGCCAGCAGCTGACAGCAGACATGCTATATACCAGTTAAGATGACAACTGGGAAGAAAAAAAATCATAAATCTTGCTACGGTTTAGCCGACCACACCAAGTTGGTCCTCTTGAGACATCCGCCTTCTCCCCACCCACAAGCCCAACCTTAACCTTTATTATCAATTTGACAAATTGTGTAGGTATATTGCATTACACTGCAATTTCAACCCAGTCTAAGTATTAGGGGACTTGTATTATATATACTAATATTATGGATATTCTAAAAAAGTTAAGGAGAAGAAAACCACATACTGAACGGCTGATGGTTTGATGGGAGAAGTCTCGAAACAAGAACATTGAATACAAGATAATGGAGAGGAGAGAAACAGTTTATAAAAAGTATAAAACATTTAAAAGTTTTTAGATGAATGAGATTATTGCTTTTCTAATAGGTCAGTTCCCTCTTTTATCAATGGAGCACTTGAATGTTAGGAAGATGTAAAGGGGTGTTAAAGATGAAGTTAATGCTGTTGCCTTTATAAGTGTAAAGAAGTGTCTCCTGCCCTAGCTGGTTTGGCTCAGTGGATAGAGTGTCGGCCTGCAGACTGAAAGGTCCCGGGTTCAATTCTGGCCAAGGGCACATGCCCTGGTTGTGGGCTTGATCCCCAGTAGGGGCCGTGCAGAAGGCAGCCAAGCAATGATTCTCTCTCATCATTGATGTGTCTATCTCTTCCTCCCTCTCCCTTCCTCTCTTAAATCAATAAATATATATTTTTTAAAAAAAAGAAGTGTCTCCTTTCACTTCATTCCTAAAACAGTAACAGAGTACATAGACCATCTCCACTGAATAGACAACAAAGTAGTACATAATTCATGTAAATCTCTTGGCTTCCAAATCTGGTCTTCTCTCCCTGCCCCTGTTGACACTCTTGTTTCTTATTCCCAGCAAATGAAAGGTTTTAGACCTGTGTGTCTAAATACAGTATATATATATATATATTATAGCCATATGCAGCTATTTAAGTTTAAATTAAACTTTAACAAGTTCCTTAGTTGCATTAGCCACATTTCAAATACTCGGGGAGCCATATATGGCCAGTGGCTACTATGGTACATTGGGCAGCACAGATACAGGTCATATCCATCACTGAAGTTCTATTGGACCACCCCGTTCAAGTGTATTTTTTTGTGTATAATAGAAAATTGTTACATGTTTTCTCTACCAACCTCATTGTAATTTGCTACTCATCTAAGAACACTATCACTAACTCCGATCTACTTCAAATTTTATTTCTGTTCACAAGTGTAATTCACATTCATTTTCCAAATGTTGAAGGAAAAACACAAATATAGAAAGTAACTATCCCTTCTTATAAAGCCAACTCCCAAAGACAGGCATGGTTAACTGATAAGTTCGGGGCATGTTCTTCCCGTTACATTTTTATACTCAGTTTATGCATTCAATTATTTTAATAATGAAGATGGGCTGTGGCCTCTTTGCTTATTCCCCTTTGTAACCAGCACAACACATTTCAGCTTTGTCTCATGAAGCTACGTGTGCGGGGCTCTGTCATGGAGCTAATCCCCAAAGATGACTGGAGAGCCAAGTAACAGTTGGCAGATGTATTCCTTGAGACGCATGTCTTGTTTAGAATCATTGGCTGATGAAAGTCGTCCAGCCTGACCGGTCACTGCTGCCTAGTGTGAAATGCCTGTTTTGGGGAGTGCACACATTCGAGGAATGTGGCCTGAAGCTCCCGGCTCAGTTGCAGTGGTTCGTGTAATGAATCCACTCGATGTTCTTTCCTCACAGAGATGCGAACTGAGACTCTATTTGGAACATTTACAACCATATATGGTGTTGCCCGAGTGTTTAGCTACAGATTTTGGTTATTATCATCATTAACTGGATGTAGGAAGTTATATGGTGATGGATTTTCACAAAGACTTTGGTGAGAAGAGATGTAACTGGCTCGAAGGGAAAAAAAAAAAAGTACCCCTTTTCACAGATTGCAACCTGCAGGGACTGCAGCTCGCTGCACTTGTTGAAATGAGGCCACCAATTCCGCCCCCCTGGGCCCCACTTACCTACTGAACACCTGCCGTGCGAGCCTGAGCAACTGTGTCACTTCCACTCCTGCACTTGCACCATTAATTTGATGACCGAACCTCACTGCTTCAAAAAAAAAAAAAAATCAATGTGCCAGCCATCAGTAAATGACCCAAACCAAGTGTGCACCAAGGTAGAAATAGTATGGACAGCTTTCAATGTTCCTGTCATCTGTGACTTGACCCCATATAGGATGCTGGACAAAGGTTCTCATTACTATGTGAGCCTCACAGAGACAACAGAAGAGGTGAGCACACCAGCCTTTTCTGGTCGTTATCAAATGAAACACAGCTGCACTGTGTTCTAGCCCCGCAGTCTGCTGTGGGAGGCGGGCATTTTGGTCACTAATGGAAGGATTTGCTTACTGACGTATCAGGAGAAGCTCGTCTGAAAAGCTCCTCAGCATTATCTTGAGGGCACGGTCCCTGGTTATGGGATCCAGACAGACCGTGGTTACAACAGCTTTCAGAGCAACAGGATATTGTACGAGGCACTGAAACCACCAAATAAGGCGGATTTGGCCCAGCCGGCATGGCTCAGAGGTTGAGCACTGACCTGAGAACCAGAGGTCACGGTTCAATTCCCGGTCAGGGCACATGCCTGGTTTGTGGTCTTGATCCCCAGTGTGGGGCATGCAGGAGGCAGCGGATCAGTGATCCTCTCTCATCATTGATGTTTCTCTCTCTCCCCCCTTCTCCCTTCCTCTCTGAAATCAATAAAATTGTTTTTTTAAATAAGGCAGATTTGGTCCCTGATGGTGAAGCTTACAATCTAGCAGGAACAAGAAATACTGAGTAGGGAGTTTTCAGTGTGATGTGTCTGCAATGGGACCAGCAGGGTGGTACAAGAGGATATTAGTAGGGAGTCCAATGTAGCCTGAATGTGCAGGAAAGGCTCCCATGAAGAAATGCTAAGTGAAGACCTGAAAGGTTGGTGGTTGCTAGCCAGAGAGGGGCTGGGAAGGTGGTCCAGGCAGAAGAAATGGCATGTGCAATGGCCTATGGCTGGGAAGAACCTGCCCTATTTAAGGAACCAAAAGAAATCCAGAATAGCTGGAACACAGACCAGTCTCGGGGAAGTGGTAAGAGAGGGATCTGGAGAATGGGCTAGGGCCAGCCTGGGGAGGAACTTAGGCCATGTGAAAGAATCTAAACATTAGCTCAAGGACAATAGGAAATGATCAGTTTCCTCATCTGTAAAGTGAGCATAATAGCTATCTCATAGGATTATCAGGAAACAAAACAAGAATACAAGTGAAAGGTCTTTGTAATCTTCAAAACATGACAGGGCCCTGGACAGTGTGGCTCAGTTGGTTGGGCGTTGTCCTATGTACCAGGAAGTTGTTCATTTGATTCAAGGTCAAGGGCACATGCCTGGGTTGTGGCCTAGATCCCCAGTAGGGGGTGTGCAGGAGGCAGCACCCATGTTGTGCTCTCACACCAATGTTTCTCTCCCTCTCCCTTCTTCTCTCTCTAAAAGTCAATAATTTAAAACGATAGGAATACTACTAACATTATAATCTTAGCAGTAATTATAAACTATGCTGCCTTCTTAAGTAATGGAAGTCGTAGTTCAGATCTCCTACATGGGAATATGAAAGTCTATAAAACCCTGACTTACTCAAGGGAGCTGATGGAAAGGTCAGAAGTTTACTCCAGCCGAGACTTCCAGTGTGAAGTTCAGGAAGCCGCGGGGTGAGCTCAGCTGTTCGGAGCAGCCTCACACCATGTATGGCCATGTGTATTTCTCAATCCACCCTGACTTCCAACTCCACTTCCAGAAAAGATCAGTGTTCGGCCTTCACTCGAGCCCCTCCTGCCCCGCCAGCAGAGCCACTGAGACATTCTCGCCTCGGGATTCCTTCCAGCCAGAGCTTAGGCCCAGCGCCTCTCCGACGTCAGCTCTTGTAGACGCTGCCATCATTCCACACACATTCCACTCTTCTGAGCCGTTGGTGGGAAAATAGTTATCCCTGTTCGCACCTGCATTACATTTTTTAGGAAAAATGCAAGAGCTTTACAAATATGTGACATTTTAATCTTACAATGATTCTGTGAAGTAGGCTCAACCCAATCTCAGAATGGATGAAAGATCGGACCAGCACTGCTATACTACCAAGGAGAACTTGGTTCATTTTGGCCACTTCCACTCTGCCTGCAACACATTAAACATTACCTGAGTACAGAAGGGCAGAGCTTTGGCAGGTGTCGGCATTCGATTGCACTGCATCACCACAACCCTCTTCCCAGCTCTGGTCAAACAAGCCAGGCACGCCTCCTCTCCAGAGGTCACTGACTACCACAAATGCTTCACACCAGACGTTACAAACTTGCTTTTATTTTTTTTTAAATCTATGCATTGCTGTTAAAATCTTTTTGAAAATTTAAATCCAGTTTTTTTTTTTAAATATATTTTATTGATTTTTTACAGAGAGGAAGGGAGAGAGATAGAGAGTTAGAAACATCGATGAGAGTGAGACATCGATCAGCTGCCTCCTGTACATCCCCCACTGGGGATATGCCCGCAACCCAGGTACATGCCCTTGACCGGAATCGAACCTGGGACC